GGCCCCTGTAATTCAAGATGCTCATTAAGCTGTTTCCAATATTCATGATTATCGAGAATCTTTTTCCATTCCTTAGACACCAAAGACGCGTTTTGAAATTCATAAGGATCTTTTATATAGTTAAAAACCAAACTAATTGGATGAATTTTTTCAGTTTTTTGTTTTTTAACAGAAGAGGATTCAATTGATTTGAATTTTCGTTTCATCTTTACTAAAATTAAATAAAAACGTTGGGTTCGCTCAGGCTTTCGGCCTGCTCGCACAACAGATTTCCACTACCCGGCTTATATCCTACTATACTGAACGTTTTGTGGTTGTTCGCCACAGGGCACCCTTTCTGAAAGGGTCAAACGTTTTTTTTTCCGCGGCAACATTTGTTACGATATGTCCGACGCCTCGATCACATGAATTTCGGTCGCAATAGCAACCGAAATTAATGCTTATCTCATTTCGCACATATCTCACAAAGTTGTGAGATTGATTAAATGCAACAAAAATAATTAAATAATTTATAGATATGTAGATAATAAAAATATAATTTATTTATAATAAAAAAAATTTACAAAAATTTAGAAAAATCGTTTTTTGGATTGTTTATCGAATCTTTCCACATTGAAGCTACTAATTTAAACGCATCATTATGATTTAATTCTGGGTTATTTTTTTTAACTATTGGAAGATTAAATTTCATAAAACTATTATATGGAGATAATTTTTTTTTCTCATTCATACATATCGTCGCACCTTTTTTTGCTAATTTATCAGCGTTATCATTTGCAATAATATTTCTATGTCCAAATATGTGGGTAAAATACAATTTACCAATTCTTTTAGAAAGTAGGAAATCTATTTTTTTAAAAAGATCTTTATTTTTCACATCTCTGTTACGTCTCGTTTTCCAATTGTTTTTTTTCCAAATATCGATCCAGGTTTCGCAAGCATTTACTACATATCTACTATCAGTTTTAATTTCGATCATTTTTTCAAAATTTTCACAAGTTTCGAGTGCTCTAACCACAGCATAAATCTCAGCGCGATTATTATCTTGTAAATCACCAGGTAAAGATTCAGTAATTTGTTTGGAACCATCTTCGTAGTAAATTCCTATTCCAGCATAACATCCCTTTTCATTATTTTTACAACAACCATCTGTATAAATAACTATTTTATCTGTTGTCGAATTTAAAATTTCTTTTTTCTTTTGTTTTAACTGAAAATTATTAAAAATTCTACGCGCAACTTCACGCGAAAAGCTTTTTTTAAAATACGCCAAAGGATAACTGTTCACTTGTTCTTTACATTTTTCCAAAGTATCGTAAATACCAGGAGTACGACCAATAAGAACAGTATAAAAAATAGAAGATGAAGATTTTGGCATTTTAAAAAAAAAAGCAACTGAAAGTAGTGCCATCGTGTGAACAACCACAAAACGTTCAGTATAGTAGGATATAAGCCGGGTAGTGGAAATGAGAGTTAATATGGTAAACGAACAGATATTCAAATAACATATAAATTGGGATCTCTCTCTCACCTAAATCTGATTGGTTGAAAAACGAAAAAGGATTGAGAAAAGGGAAAGAAGAATGCTGAGGTTTATATAGTTGTCAAAAGCTAAGCCACCCGAATCGAAGATGTATTATTAAAGGATTATTCGGTGAAATGTCACTGAATAATCGATTAAAAAGTTATATAAATGATAAAATTAAAATTTGGTTAAAAACAATTAAAAATATAATAGTTTATTATAAATAATTTATAAAATATTTTTAATATGCTAATATAAGATATTGATCTGGCCACT